CGCGCCTCAGGTGTCGTCTCCGTGACCGAGTCCACTGTCCGTCCCTCGCTGCCCCCCTGTCACCCGTCCTCATCACCGCGGTCCGTGATTGCTAACACCGTTGTTAACCAAAAAATCGTCACAGACGTTCTCGGTCTGTCTCGTTCGGCCACATCATCCATCGACCGACATTGCATGGAATTATTTTTCACAAATTTCCATCGATCGTTCTAAAGGACGACGACGATGACACGTGCAATCGCCACCGTCAGTGAAGCAGGCGTCATCCGTCCGTTGGTGCTGGTTTCAGGCCGATTTCGCCTGAGACGATTATCGCAGCAAATCCGAAAATCCGTAGCCAGACTTCGGCGCTCGTGTAACTGATATGTCAGCCGACTGGCCGACTGGCTATCTCTTCTTAAGTGGACGATGGTCAAACTAGTTGAGGCACAGATCGACGACCACCGACGAAATCCAGAACGTTGACATTTATTTACGTAACTAATTAGTAGCGCATTTATTTATTTCGAATATGATCGCACTACATAATTATGGATATTGACTTGAAAAAGTGGAGTGTCTAATCGCCTCCAACAGCCCGGAAGAAAGTGATTCTACAGTTAGTTGAGAGATGTGACTTTCATTATCTTAACTGCTGTATTTAAGAACTGCAGGAAATTGTTATTGCTGTTTTTCATTGCCATCTCAGATTAGCAGAGCTGAAGCAGCAGAGTAACTCAGATTTATGATGTCTGACTGCTAGACGAATGATACTTCGGATTGAAAGGGAAAGTTCGTTGTTTCAGTAAACCTCATATTTTTCTTCGCAAGCAGGTCTGTCTCAAAGAAGGGTTATCTCGTTCTATATCGTTCTCCAATGCGTCTACGGTCAGTACAAGGCGTCCAAGGGAGAAAACATTTTTAATTTTTGCTTTACATTCCCATTCTCATTTTCGGCCGTTGTAATGTATATCGCCATGCGAATAAATATTAAAAAAAGCCAACAAGAGAAAATTATTAATAAGAGAAACAGTTCTAAGTCATGTGGAAATGTGAAGTCGTTCCCTGCCTCAGCCATAGGCAGTAGAATAGAACGTCTTCCTGCT